GTGCAGGAATCTTCAGCGCCGTGTTCATCTACATGTGTGTGTTATGTGAGCCAAGGGGGAAGGTTAGAGTACCTTTATTATTCAGCTGGGGACCAGCAAGGGGGTGGAGGGGGTGCTCTGTGTCTCACTGAGGACACTTATACATGTAGATGGGAACGTAGAGCCACAAGGAATACATTTAATAGCAATTTCAGCTTCTCACTGGTGGTAATAACATGCTATTGGTGTCATCCTTCCCCCCTTCGGAACAGGGGTGGGGCCTTCGCTGGACTCTCAATACACAGAGGCCAGGTGTCCTTTGAGAACGTAAGCCTCACTCTACAACCTGAATCTTGTCCTCTCACATCACGCCCTGCGTGGATCTTGGTGCGGCCCAACGAGTCAAGATTTCTCCTTCCACCCTGCCTCAAGAGAGCCAGTCACCTGTAACACAGGAGCCCGAGTACTCGCTCTACAGCCAGACCCTGGAGGAGACGCCCGTGGCTGCAAATGAACCACAGCTCCTGTGCGCAAAGTCTCACAAGCAGAGGTGAGGGGAATGATACACAACATGAGCACAGGTCGGGCCAGAGGATGGGGGGACACGGTGGGGGGCCGAGGGGCTATGCATTTTACTGGACTTCTCTAACTTTACTAATTTAATATAAAAGCAAGGACAGTTTATGGAGGGGGTGTATGTGTGGGTGTGTGGGGGGTAGGGACAGGACAGAAAAATACATAAAATAAAATATAAAGAAAAATAAAAATACATAAAAAAAATTTAAGCTCTCCACTCCCGTGTCCTATGTCATATATCCACCCATGGGGCAGGGGCGAGTGAGACAGCTCTCCACTCCCCTGTCCTAGGTCATATATCCACCCATGGGGCAGGGGTGACTGAGACAGCTCTCCAGTCCCCTGTCCTAGGTCATATATCCATCCACGGGGCAGGGGTGACTGAGACAGCTCTCCACTCCCGTGTCCTATGTCATATATCCACCCACGGGGCAGGGGCGAGTGAGACTATATCATGTGCACTATCCCGTGAGCTGCTCTTTGCATCTAAGGCTCTATCTTGGGGTCTGTCCACCTTCAGCACGCCCGCCGCCCCACGGTTGAATAGCTGCGTAGTATTCCACTGGACAGATAGATGCTCCTTGGCCTTATTCCACCCGTGTCCTACTGCTGCAAATTTGGCTGCAGAGAACCTTCATTAGTGAGTAATTCTGCGAAAGCAATAGATACACAGGACTGTAAAATACTTGACAACTCCCATCCAACTGAAATGAAATTCAAATTTCAAAAATAACAATTTAAACAGCTTAGGAATTCTGAACGGTTTTATTAATTTTAAATCTTTTGAATGCTTATTATGAAATGAGAAAGCTCCCACTATTGCCCCACATACTTATCAGGGAAATGAAACCTTTCCTTTTGCTTGAAGTGTTTTGACAGAATTTCTGAAAACAAGAAAGGAAGGGCCTCTAGGGGAAAGTGAACACACAGGCATACGAGCTGCTGGTGCTCCTCCTTAGGATAGGGGTTATTTTCAATCCGTTACTTTCTATGCCTGGGAGATTCCAGACAAAACCAGACTGCACTGAAAAGCAGGAGCTCTTCAGACTACTTTCCACAGTAGAGGCCTTTCTTTTATTGAATTAGAGTTGTTTTTAGAAAAATCCATAGCAGCCTTTAAAGATATCTTAAACAGTAGATAGCTCAAGATATCTCAAAAGGTAGCCGGTGATAAATAATAAATTAAACAGTAAAACACAACTATATTCTTCTCTTACTTTGGTCTTGATTTTAAAGGAGGGGCTTCCGTGAAATCTAACAGAGCCTGGGGGCTTTCAACTCCTCTTTTATGGCAAACATTCCCCCTAGGTGGGAAGTATCTAGAGCACACGAGACCCCAAAATGTTGACCTGGGTTTCTGAGGCTGGGATACACAGCTGGGTCAGATGGACCGCAGACCCATGGTACCAAACGCCTGAAGTCGGATGCTGTTGGAAAAGAATTTTCTATGTGGAAAACTGCATGTACAGATGCAACTTGCTCAGTCTCTACACGTGGTGAGCTTTTAATAAATATGTGCAGAGTGAATGAAGAGATGGTTTTGAAAGGCAACATATTGTCAAGTTGTCTCCTGGTGACAGACCACATTCCTAAGAATGGTGAACAGAAAAATGGATAAAAGCTGGTGCCAAGAAAGAAGTAGAAAGATTATATTTCCAGAATCGTTGCCTCTCTGGTCCACTGTAAAGGTGTGAAGTGGTTGACATAAATCTTCAAAGAACACTCAAACTTTCCTATCTGCCCAGGCTTCCTAACTCACCCTTTCGTCGTGCCCCTTCTTGTACTGGTGACAATGACCGGTGAGAGGCTCACAGTCTTGCCACGGCTTCTTCTTCCTCTTGTGCCATCTGCACCCATAACAATCCCGATAAATTAATTCTCACTAAGGTCTCAATGACTACCATAGCGAACCTGTTCTCTCAGCAGGATCCCTTATTTTTTAATAAAAGACACAGAAATTAATCTTCGGCTTATTAATGTCTCAGGATACTTTTATAGTCAGACGGACCTTCCAGTATCTCTGAAATCACCCTGTGCAGCACGATGCCCCCCATCGTACCAGGCTTTGTCCACACCTAGAATTACGCAGTGGGCTCAAAATTCTTTTAACGACCCCAAACAATAGTCCTTAGACTTAATGGGAGGAAAGAGGACCAAGATACCAGTTTCACTCTAAGCTTTGGTTGTGCTAGAAGGAGGTCCTCTTCTATATTATCGAGAACAACTAAGTCAGGGGGATTTATTTTATGTCACAGAAAATAAGTCCCATATATAGTACAGCCACTCAAACTCGTTAAGAGGCTAACCCAAGGGTAAAAGTTGGAAACACCCTGATTCTCCATGGTACGTTATAAAGCAGTCAAAAATATCTGTGGCCCCGAGCAGACTAGTTGACACTTGCTAAGTATAACTATTGTTTGAAGAATTGCTTATGGCCAATTATGATACACTTCCCTGGTCTGGGACATATATTTTGTAGTGGCTCCTCTGAAGGGATCTGCCAATTGAATTATTTAAATGTGCTTATCATTAGCAGTTTAAATAAATGACATTTATTTTGGCGAGAGATTAATTTTTAACTTGGCAGCTGTTTTCAGACAGATTGTTGTCAGGTTATTACACTGACTAACTTTGAGAGAAGGAAGACATTTACAGGAGATTATTTTGGTTTTAGACTTTCAGCTTGTGTTTCTCCAAAGAGGCAAATAAGTCTGTCAATGTCCTGAGATACTGGGTCCCGAAGACATTGCAATGTTTGCATCTTTGTGACCTGATTTCAATAATAACCCCACATGTGGAGAACTAAAAATGTTCTTTAAAACAGGAATTCTTCAAATATGCTCTTCAGAAGCTGTTTTGTGGCTAAGTTGGAGATTTATATAGGAGTACATCATAGAGGAGCAGGGTAATATATTGGTAATATTCTGAAAAGAGCGTTGGAAGATGAGGGTTCAACTTTCAACTCTGAGAAGCCCAGTGACTTGACGTGCACTTGCAAAGGCCTCCGGCCTCCGTTTCCCTGCAAGAGGAGGGCACACAGAAGTGACCAGTAAAGTCCTTTAGTGAAAAGTCTAGAGCACCTGGGTGGCTCAGTGGTTGAGCGTCTGCCTTGGGCTCAGGGTGTGATCCCGGGGTCCCGGGATCGAGTCCCACATTGGGCTCCCCGCAGGGAGCCTGCTTCTCCCTCTGCCTATGTTTCTGCCTCTCTCTGTGTCTCTTATGAATAAATACATAAATAAATAAATCTTAAAAAAAAAAAAAGAAAAGTCCATGCACCTGTGAAATCAGCTTGAGTAGTATCAGATTTTGCCCACTGTTGTGCTGTGGTCTATACAAACACCAAGCATTATCTCTTCATCTTTTGCACCAAAAACTCACAGTTCCTACATCCTATTTGCCTCTAATTTTATGATGTCTCAACTTTTAGCCACAATTCACGACAATACTGTCAGCTGACATTGCAGCTATCAATGGGATAGTAACCCCAAATCATGCTTGACCATTGGCTAGGAGAATGGTAAAGAGGGGGGGCTTTCTGGAGAAGGGGACAACTGTCACCATCTACTTAAACACTGCTTTGAATTTATTAGCCAATTGCCAGTTGATGATGCAAAGTAACAAGGCACCAATCACATTTCAATAAACAGCATGACAGGCCACAGAAATACCGTGAAGTAGCTACCAATACCCCGTTTTGCTCTCTCTCATTGAAAAGAAACTTCAATAATTAAACTTTGAGCAATGGAGAAATGAAGATGTCTATTCTTTTTAAAGATTTTATTTATTTGAGAGAAAGGGAGAGAGAGACAGAGCACCAGCAGGATGAGGAGCAGAGGGAGAAGCAGAACATCCGTTGAATAGGAACCCCAATGAGACTCAATCCCAGGACCCCGGGATCATGACCTGAAGCCAAGGCAGGTGCTCTACTGACCAGGTCACCTGGGAGCCCCGATGAAGTCTATTTATAATCAGAAAAAGATGACCCAAGACAACACATTGGCTTCTTTTAACCTAAAAAGCTCTCAGAATATATCTATATGTTTTGTCAAACCTCTAACCTATAATCGTAATAGGTATTTGTTGCCTATTTTTAAGTTTTTATTTAAATTCCAGTTAACATACAACGTAATATTAGTCTTCGGTGTACAATACAGTGACTTAACACTTCCATAAGAATCTATTTTCCAATAAGAAATGAAAAGAAGTTCAAGAGAATATAGAAAATGGTTTTAACATCTTTTACAAATAGGCAATCAGATATAAAGGGTGAACGCATGAAAAAGACTCTAACACTAGAGTGTCTTATTATTTTAAATTCAAATAATGCTTTTCAGTTCTCCCTTTGGATTACATAAATCCAGGCCCAAAGGTACGTGAGAATTTTCCCACTGCAAGACTCAGGGCGGGACGTGAGGCACAGTTCTGAAACAATGAAGAAGTCATACCTTGAAATCGTATGTGGCATCTGGGTTTTCGTCACAGGCAATGACCTCTGGAGCCATCCAGTAAGGGGTCCCGATGAAGGTATTTCTCCTGCCCACTGTTCGATCCAGCTGGGCACTGACGCCAAAGTCCACTATTTAAGAGAAGACAAATGAATAAAGTCTATGATCCTTACGTGGTGATAAGACGAATGCGCATTTTTTTAATGTGGCAAAATAAACATGCCACAAAATTTACAATTTTAATCATTTGTAAGTGTACGGTTCTGTGCCATGAAGAACATTCACATTGTTGTGCAACCATCACTGCCCTCTGACTCCAGAACTTATTCATCTTCCCAAACTGAAACTCTGCACTCATTTAAACAATAACTCCCCATTCTGCCCTCTCCCCAGCCCCTGGCAAGCACTGTTCTACTTTTTGTCTCTAAAACTCTAGACTACTTCAGGTACCTCATATAAGCGGTACCGTACAGTACTTGTCTTTGTGTGACTGGCTTGTCTCAATTAGCATAGTGTCCTCAAGGTTTGTCCATGTCAGAGCATGGGTTAGAATTTCCTAACTTTTTAAGGCTCAGTAATACTCCATCGTACGCAGGCACCACGTTGCATTTATCCATCCACCTGCAGGTGGGCAATTTGGGTTGCTTCTCCATTTTAGCTATTGTGAATGTCTATTTTTATCTATTTTTATTTATTTTTTTTGCACAGAGATATTCACAGCAGCTTTATTTTCAACAGCCCCTAACTGGAAACAATCTAGGTGTCCTTCACTAGGTAAATGGTTAAAGAAATGGCAGTGGTGTAGCCCGGTGTAGTATCAGGGAATACTGCGCAGCAATAAAAAGTACAAACTGGTATGCATAATAATCTAGATAATTCTGTAGATGTTTATACTGGGCGGGGGGGGGGGAGCCAATTCCAGAAGGCTACATACTGTATGACTGCATTCATACAACCACATCCTTTTAACTGTTGTGAGCGTCTATTTTTAAAGCACATGAATATATGAAATGTGTACTGAGGAGGAAAGCACGTAACGCTATTTGGTTAAACCAAAGGTCTGTAGGGGCAAAAACAGATGTTAAATAAAGGCAAGCTTGTTTGCCATAAGAGATAATACTTAGGGGGATACAAAGAAAGTGTTTAAGAGCCAGGTTTCTGCAGTCAGACTGCCTAAGTGTGCAACCCATCTCTGCCACTTACGAGTGATGTGACCTAGGGCTAGCAGATCAGGATTTAAGCTCCAGTTTCCAAATTTATAAAATGAGGCTGATGATATTTACATAGGGTTGCTGTGATATAAAAGTGCTGTGTATAGGGCCTGACATAATCTCTCAACAAGGGACTGTTAATGGGTGATGGGTGAATATTCTGAGGATAGAGTACTTAGCCAGTCCATGGAAGGTATGTGTATATATGTATACACAGGCATGTGCACACACACCCGCCTTCCCAACTAATGTATATTTTTGTTTTAAAAGGGAATATTCATGAGATGAAAGTTTTGCCCCAACTAAGAAAAACATGGAAATTATATATTTTAACGAAAAGGCAAGAACAAATGTTTGAGATATAAATATATGGCGTATTTCGATCTCTTTGAAAATAAACAATCATATGGGCAATAACTCCTTTCTAGATGACAAACTGCATATCCTAGAGATAGCTGTCAATTCATCCTCTGACTCATAGACACCAAGGGGGTGGAGCTTGTGCAGCATGTGGATTCTCTACCCTATGTGGACAATCCCAGATTGGTGGGAGGAAGCACCAGGGAAAAGGGTTCCCTCACTGATAACTCAGGCAAACAGAAGTAGGATAACCTGCATGCATGCAAAGTAGAATACTGAACGCCCGTTATGCACAGGTGCCCCAGGTAACAACGAAGTTGATGTAAATATAGCTTAAAACATATGGGAATATAGCAGGAATTCGTTATTCTAAATACGTCTAACTGCGGATATTTTTCAATTAAAAAATGGGTCATCACTGTTCTGTGATAGCGACAGCAAAGTAGACAAATGGTAAGATATAGGAAGCCGTTTCAAGGCAATTACTTCTAATCTGGAGGGTTTTTGCTTTAAAAAAACAATTACTTCTATATATTGTTTAAGCAAATGGTTCCAACAATTCATTCCTCAAGCACTTTTTAAAAATGTTTTGAAATAGACAAATAAATATTTTCCTTTTCATTCCTTAGTACAGTGACTTCCAAATTCAGTGACAATTTACATTCATTATAAACAAAACGGGGCAGCCCGGGTGGCTCAGCGGTTTAGTGCCGCCTTCAGCCCAGGGCCTGATCCTGAAGACCCGGGATCGAGTCCCATGTTGGGCTCCCTGCATGGAGCCTGCTTCTCCCTCTGCCTGGGTCTCTCTCTCTCTCTGTGTGTGTGTCTTTCATGAATGGATGAATAAAATCTTAAAAACAAAAACAAACTCCACAAAACAAAACCAACCAGCTGCTGAAATAATCCTATTCATTCCCTCAATTCCTAGGCTCACTGGATGCTGCTCTTACCCAGTTTAACTTCTGCGTTCTCAGTCAGCAAGACATTCTGCCCTTTAATATCTCGATGAATCACTTTATGCTGATGCAGATGACTCAGCCCCTGGAGTAACAAGGAATTGAGAAGGGTTAATAGGAACATAAGCCAAGATGAAAATAAAATTACTTGGACTGTCAATGATCCCAAAGAGATGTTAACTCACCCAGAGATAGTTTCCTTTTTTTTTTTTTTTTTTTGGTACTTTCATTATCATACTCAGGTCTTTCACGTGTATACAGTGCCGTCCTAAACTAGGCAATTGATTAATAAACTGAAATACTGAAGCAGTCTTTGCAATGCATGGTGCTGTATTAAATGAACTGCTCGCCTATTAGCTGTGATCTCAGGTAGGACGGACCCATGCAGACAATGCTGTGGTTCTGGCACGTATGAGTTTTGTGAAAACTGAGGACTGCCTGCATCTGCCAGTTTGTAAACAGGAATATCTATAGTTTCTGTACAGAAAATGAACCTGATGTAACTAAGTCCTCTACGTTTTTTTTTTAGCAGTATTTGAATTCAAGAGTTAAAAGTTGTTCACTAAGTTCTACTCCTGAAATCAATACTGCACTAGATGTTAACTCACTTGAATTTAAGTAAAAACTTGAAAGAAAAAAAAAACAGTTAAAAGTTACATTATATCATATAAGTTAATTTCTCAGACCAGACACAAAATTTCCCATTGGTTTTAGCCAATGTGGTTCATATTAAAAAAAAAAAACCAACCCCCCCCCAATTTCTATTTCCTTTGTTGGCATTCATAACTGTCTTCTTTAGTGCTTTATGGTATCTGTGACGTTGTGTTCATTGCATGAAACAATTATTTGGTGACATCTAAACCGGATTGTGTTCCATTTCTCCATGAATTACTCTCATACTGGCTTGTGGTGTGAGTTCTAAAATCTACAGATTGCTCTAAGTGTACACTTCTCAAAGTGTAACCTCAAATAATCTCAAATTGGAGGCTTGAAGCAAATTATGTTATGCTAACGCTTGCTAATTCAAGGTACTGTATACTCAAGTATTGTCATTTTATTATTTATAATTTTCGGTACTTTTAATTTTCCTTCATAATGACCCTGGTATAAAAGATGAAGTTGAAACAAAAAGAAACAAAATATCTGAATTCCTTTGTTGAAAATACTCAGCATGAGAATGGGGATGCCTAAAAAGATCCATGTGTGCATTTAGGAATATCAGTAAACACAAACCATGTGAGAAATTGAAGCACTGGTTTGGGTTTTAAAAAAATTACCTTTCCTCTCTACTCAGTTCAGCTCAAGGTAGGCATCAAGCAGATCAAAATGTATGGTTTTATGGCATATTAACAGCTCATGAATATTTACAGGGAACGAAGATCCCTCGCACTCCTTCACTACCAGAGTGGTTGGAAACAGGGATCAGAGCATGTAAGTGAGCCAAACCTTATAGTTAATGAGATCATAGGATGCACAAACTTCTTGTGATTGAATGTCCTTTCCAATGAGTCATCTTATCTCAAATGTCAGTATCTTTTGGGAGAAGGTATTGGAAGCAAGAAGAAAACACAGTTTTCACACATTCGAATCAGGTGCTGGGATATACTCATCAGGTGAAACAGAACCCTGGAACACACATGGCTGATCATCCCCAGGGTTACCCATCCAAGGCTCCCAAGCAGAGCAGAAAGGTGGATTGCAGAACCAGCCGGGAGACCCAACAGATTCTTGGCGTCACGGGTGGTCTGGATGCCTAAATAACCCTTTGTGCTTTCTCTCAAGGAGTGAAATTCTAAGTCAGAAATTCAAGTGAAGTTTACACAAAAGCACCTCAACATTTGAAAATAAATGTCAGGTTTGAAGGAGAACAGCAACCATACCTCCCTGTTTCCTGCTCAAATTTTGTCTTGTGCTCGTTTGAGAAATCTTTCTGCCCCCTCCAAGCCAGAGAGGGTTTATCTCATGCTTGCTCTTAACAGCTTTATTTTTTGTATCTTTCCCATTTAAAATATCTTTAATCCAGCTGGAATTAATTTTTGAATAGGTTAGGAAGCAGGTATCATGTTTTCACATGACTAGTCAATGGACCAAGCACTATTTACTGATAAGAGCACCCTTTCCCCATGCGTCGCAGCGCTTCTTTTGCCATAAATCACGTGTCCATATGAAGTAGGTCTGTTCCTGGACTCTTGATTCTGTTCCTTTGGCCATTTGTCTATTCTTGTGACAATACTACTCTGCCTTATTTACTTAGTAGCTTTAGAAGAAGTCTCAATAACTGGCAGCATAAATCCTCCAGCTCTATTCTTCTTCAAGATTGCCTTGGCTATTCTCAGCCCCTTTGTACTTCCATATAATGTCTTAAAAAACAGCTTGTCAATATCTACAGATATACCTAGAGGGATTTTGATGGGGAGTTCAGTGAAACCATGGATCAAACCAGGGAGAAATAACATCTTCACAATATTAAGTATTCTTATCTGTGAAATGGTATACACACCTCCATTTATTAAGATCTACTTTAATCTCTCCCAGTAATGTTTTGTGGTTTTCAGTGTAGAAGTCATTCACATCTTTCTGCAAATTTATTTCTACGTTTTTGATGTTTATGCTATTATCAATGTTATTTTTAAAGTTCACTTTCTATTTGTTTTTGGGTTTTTGCCTAATGTGGTTTGAATATTTTTAACGTCTTCCAGCCATCCAGCCATCCACCCACCCACCCATCCATCCATCCATCCATCCATAGCACATAATTTGCCTCTCAAAAGTGTATCTTGGACATATCATGAAAATACTTTTAAATTTTATTTCCTTAGATTAAATAGGCAGAACTTATAAATAAATTATGATTGTCAAGCACATCTAGTAAGAATGCTCAGTGAACACACAATAGCCTCCATATCAGAAGCAAGAGACAATTAAACTAGCCTGACTGAACTAAAATATGACCTTCTTTTCCCTGAATTGAGCTCAGTAAATTGAAGCTACTATCCAGATAGCCTGACTGAGATTTGTGGGCAAAACTGGTCAAACAGACAGATACAGTCTTGTCCAGCTATTTTGATCATTTTAAGTGACAAAGTCTTGAAGGTTTTTTTTTTTTTTTTAATTTAAAATCAGTTAAGGGATCCCTGGGTGGCGCAGCCGTTTAGCGCCTGCCTTTGGCCCAGGGCGGGATCCTGGAGACCCAGGATTGAATCCCACGTCAGGCTCCCGGTGCATGGAGCCTGCTTCTTCCTCTGCCTATGTCTCTGCCTCTCTCTCTCTCTCTCTCTCTCTGTGTGACTATCATAAATAAAAATTTAAAAAAAAATTTAAAAAATAAAATAAAATCAGTTAAAAGTTTTATAAGTTCTATATGCTAAAATGGTAAATGTCATGCAATCCTTACACTAGTTATAAACTTTCAGAAATGGAAAATTCAAATGAGTAATCAAAATACCTCTAAAAAATTGATTTCCTAAGTAAAACCTTATCTCTATGTTCTAAAATCAGATTTCTAATTGGAAATATCATTGGAAATGAATCCTTGTTAAGGGAAGTCACCCAAAGTTAACCCTCCAAATGAGAGTGCACATGGCCTGTTCAGAATGGCTCTCACCTCCACTGGAACAGGACCACAAAACTACCACTACCGCCATCACTGTTAGAATGAAGCTTTAAAAAAGTATGCAATATTTTTGTGAATGTCAGTGGAAGGTTAATACAAAGTTCAACACCATCCCAGATATTCCGTGTTGTCACTTACTCGTAAGATCTCCCTGCAGATGTATGCAATCCACTCCTCCTTCAACGTGTTACCTTTTGTGTTCTTGATCAGGTCAGTGACAGAGCCAGCGCCACAAAACTCCATCACCAACTGGCAAAGGAAGCAAACACGCCATTACTATAATTATACTTCACAACTTTCACTCGGTTAAAGCATAAGTCATTCTAGTTGGCTGCTTTAGAATGCCATTCCCGTAAAGAATAAGTGATCATAAGACAATATATAAGATATAAACTCATATCTTAATTTCTTTCCAAAATGATGGAAGGGAAAGATTATTTTTAATTTTCCAATCTGAAAATTATAATTGGAAATTGAGGAAAATCTCCATATTCTAAGTATTTTTAAAAAGGAGGACAGCTAGGTGGTTCAGATATGGTTGAGAATATCTTCATGTTTTTATCCAGCAATTGATCCCATCTTTCCTACAAAAATGGATCATTCCCCTGTCTGAAAGAGCTATGGTTTTCTAGGCAGTCCAACATTAGGACAATAAAGTGTACACTGTTTATGCTATTGGCTTGTAAGTGGCACTGTAAGCTGTCAGAATGGGGACTATCTGTTTTTAATTAACTTCAGCAAATGTTCCCAGGAGGTTAGACACATCAAATAAATTCAATAAACAATAAGCCTTAATTTAGCACCTATCATCCAAAAAGCTTCAAGTTCTCTATAAATATAAACTCATTATAGCACTCAGCAACTTTATCAAATAGGCGGAAAATAACCATCTCCTTTATTTAATGGAGAAATGGAGACTAGAAGAAAAGCAATCCATCTGATTTTATATCCATTTTCTAGGTTTGGGAAACACATCCATCTCCTTACTTTCTCCCCTTGCTTAAAAGAAAAGAAAGAAAAAGAAAGGTCTTCAGCGAATGGCATTTATTAAGGTACTTATATTTTTTCATAATTATATGAAAAGGATTCAGAATAACTAGCAATCGATCTCTGACTAAACTAATCGATCTCTGTTTCTGACTAGAAACAGAACTAAAATGGAGCCATAATGAAATCACACTGACGGTTTGGGCTTTGTCCAAATGTACATTCTTAACAATACCATTTATACCTAGTAGAAACTCAAAAGAACTCATGAAATGAGTTTTCAATGCCTCTTCTGACCTGTCTTATGATTCCACAAATGGTAGTGAAGCCCTATCATCTTTTCCAGAGTACCAGAGGAAGTGAAGAGACCTTTTAGGAGTTTTTGTAAGGAAATCTGAGAAGTGCCAAAATAGACCACATTGCAGCCCAATAAGAGCTGTAAAATTATCACATAGGATAGTCAGCAAGCTATCAAAGGCCATAAACTCCTGTTACAAAGAACTCAAGAGCCAACCTGAACTGGTTCTCACTAACCAAAGATGAGATGATTTGAGCATCCATAAGAATAACAACTGCAATGGCTTGAAACACATTAAATAGTCTTAACTAAATGCATTAACAAACAGCACTCAAAAAAAGAATAGAACTGGCCCTGGCTTATTTTGCTACTGGTAAATAGAGGGAAAGAATCAAGAATCGACACTGCCTTTCTTTCTTTTCTTTTTTTAGAGATTTTATTTATTTATTCATGAGAGACACAGAGAGAGAGGCAGAGACACACACAGGCAGAGGAAGAAGCAGGCTCCCTGTGGGGAGCCCGATGCAGGACTCGATCCCAGGACCCTGGGATCACGACCTGAGCCAAAGGCAGATGCTCAACCACTGAGCCACCCAGGTGCCCTGCCACTGCCTTTCTTAGACAAGCTTTAGCATTGGATAATTAAGTAATTAAAAGGGGCAAATCTTGTCTTTATAAAATGCAGGCATTCCATATAATAAATGAAAAGGATACAATAGAATTAAAATATCATTATTTCATAGCCCCTAACAAACTAATGTGTTTAAGCACTGATTATCAATGGCTGCCAACATAAAAAAAATTAAGAAGTAACCAGAGTGTATTTGCCTTTCGATTAGAATAACATTACCTAAGAAGTAGCCTTGTGAAGAACAAACAAACAACAGAAAACAAACCACAAGAACCCCAGAATCTGATCAAGCATCTAGTTACAATTACCGAATTACAGAAAATTCAGAGGACTCAGCAACATGTCACCTCATGGGAATACAATTGAGAAAACCTAGAACAGGAAACTCCATGGGGCAAATGACCCAATTTATTTGCTTCAACAAATAAATTGCAAGAAGGAAAAAAGGAGATGGAGGGAATATCTAAAGTCTTAAAAGCATCAAAAAAGATATACCAACAATTTGCAAGGGATGTACCTTATCAGGATATGAGTTTTGTTTTTAAAAAAAGTTCTTAAAATTTTTGAGGCAATTAAAGCTTTGAATACAGATTAGAAATTTGATGATTCTACGGAAACATGAAGGTTTTCTAAGTGTGATAATGGTACTGTGGTTATGTAAAATAAAAAAGTTCTTATCTTTTAGTGAAACATACTGAATTACTATGGATAAAATGATGATGGTCTTCTCCATAAATGGTGCTGGGACAACTGGATATCCATATGTAAAAGAACTCCAACCTCACACCGTACAAGAAATTATCTCAAAATGGATCAAAGACCCAAATATAAGAGTTAAAATGATAAAACTCTGAGGAAAGAACATAGGGGTAAATCTCCATGATCTTGGACTTGGCAATGGTTATTTCACTATGACAATAAAAGCAGAGGCAACAACAACAACAACAAAAAAAAACAGATGAGGATTACATTAAAATTAAAAACTGCGCATCAAAGGATACAATTGAGAGAGTGAAAAGAAAAAGCCACTGAATGGGAAAGATATTTGTAAATCAAATATCCAATAAGAGTCTAGTATCCAGAATATATAAAGGACACTTACAGATCAACAAAAAAAATGCATAAATAAATAATTCAAAGATGGGCAAAGGACTTGAATAGACATTTCTCCAAAGAGGATCCACAAATAACCAACAATCATATGAAACGATGCTTAATAACATCAATAGTCATTAGGAAAGTGCACATCAAAATCACAATAATATGCCACTTTATACCCACTTGGATGGTTTTTTTTTTTTTTAAAGGCAGAAAATAACACATGTTATTGCCAACACATGTTAGCAAGAATGTGGAGAAATTGGAACCCTTGTATGTTGCTGAAGGGAATGTAGACTGCTGCAGTTATAAACAGCTCGATGGTTCCACAGTAAGGTAACACAGACTTGCCATATGACCTAGCGATTTCACTTCTGGGCATACACTCAAAAGAATTGAAAACAAGTATTACAATAAAAACTTGCATCTGAATGTTCAAAGCACCACTATTCACAATGGACAAAGAGTGGAAGTAACCAAAATATCCTATCAGATGAATGAACTAAATGTGGTATCTCCATACAATAGAGTACTACTCTGCTATGGAAAGAAATGAAGCCTGATGCAACTTGATTGAATCTTGAAGACATACTCATTGAAAGAAGGACCAAAAAGGTTATATATTGTACAAATCCATTTATATAGAACATCCAGAATAGGTGAATCCAATCCAGAGAGTAGATTAGTGGTTACCAGGCTCTAGGGGGAGGGAGGAATGGTGTTGAATGGGTGCAGGGTTTCCTTCTGGGGTGATGAAAGTTCCAGAACTAAATGGTGGTAACAGCTGCACAATATTATGTACTTAATGCCACTGAATTATGTATTTTAAAATGGTTAAAATGCTAAATTTTATGTTATATATATTTTGCCAGAATTTAGAAAAAGCAGTATGATGAGGTTTCAGAATAATAGTAGAAGGGAAGAAGTGGGTGAGCATGTGTTTGGGGCAGGATTGGTCAATGATTGTTGGTTGCTGGGGCTAGTTTTGGGCACATGCGTGTCCATGATAGTGTTCTCTTTACTATTGTGTATTTGGGGGATTCTCTATAAAACAGAGTTAAAGAAAATCCCATTATGTAGCAAACCATGGTTCAATGCAGCGGGAGAGACCAAAGAAACATCCTTGGGTAGAAAGAAAATATTTTCTCAGGTGAGCAAAATATGCTGTGTCCCTTCTCAAACCCCATTTTGAAGAACACAGTGACCAGACCTCCTATGAATGCCTCCATTGCTCCTATATCAGCTGGAGAAAATGTCCCACCACTGGGCTCTATTAGGCCATGTAATTATAGTTCCCAGGGAAAGCAGTGGAAGCCCAGTGGCTCCAGTCTTTTAAAATTAGATTGGACAAAATACTTTCAAATATTCAGTAGGAAACAATCCTGCTCTAGCCAGGCACTAATGTCAGTGATTTCTATAATTTGCTTCTCTATTCAGCTCCAGCTGAAGGCTGCTAAATTCTTTTCATCTCACTACGGAACGAAATGATTGTTAAATTATGTAATGGGATTTAAAAAAAAATAAAAAAGAAAGAAAGAAAAGAAGAAACCAGCATTCGCTAGCAACTGGTTCCTGCAACCGCACAACAGCACTGATAATTACTGCCACCACGCAGCAGGGACCCTCCCTCACCACAAGTAACCTCATCACATTAATAAACAGAAACAGGGCTCAACATGCCAAGCCCAGCAGTGATAAGTCAATAACTTCACATCTCACAGGCAAGAAATAATGGATCATTAATATTCTCTCCAAAAGAAAGTTCTCAAAGAGGTGACACTGGAGCAACAATACTTGCTAACATTTACTGAGAATTTGCCATGTGCCAGGCGCTGGGCTCAGTGATTTGCAACTACTATTTCATTAATTCTCCCTTCCCTCAATTCCCTTTTCCTTATTTACTTGGAAATGAAGCTTAGCTGTGGTCCGCAGCCTTATCCAGAGTAAATATACTCATTAAGTAAGTAGAGCGGGGTTGAGAGCATGGTGCTCACTGAAGTACTCCCTATGTGACCTCGGACATGCATGTCCTCTAACCACCCTGGGCTTGGCATCCCACCATCATCACTATAAAATGAAAAATAAAATAAAATGTTTGATGTGAACATTAAGTGTCTATGAGTGTAAAACTCCTAGTAGCCCCAAATCTTAAGCTACTCTTATTACTTTTTATCATTGGTCTGTTTGCACTTTAAAAAAGGAAGAGTTTCCAACTTGGAAGATGGTATCAATAGC